AAGCAGGTCCCAAATCTTTTGTTCTCTTCTTCCTTCTCAAGAGATAAACGGCTTCTATTGATACCTACGTTTTTGTTTCTTTGTGTCATTGGATCTTGGATAGCACCAACACGTCCTCGACTTAAGTACCGATTGTTTCTTTGCGTTTACATGTTGCTATAGAGCGTTTCCTTGTTTGAAAAGAAATCAGAGTTTTTAGCATAAACCGAATTATTTTGTTAAATGTAAACGCAAGCATATAATAATGGGTGTTTGAGGATATAAATATAACATGTCTACGTGGGGACAAATTAAAGAGGCACAAAGATGATGAATGAGAATGAATCGACGTGGCAAGACAAAGTGCGAATAAGAGCCCTCTAATTCTTCCCCACACTGTCTGGTCGGTAGTTGAAACGCTAGTTGTCGATCGACTTGGCTAATCGTTTGTAAATAAATCACATTTCGCATAAACTTTTTGTTAAAAATGTATTTGGTGATGGGACCAACAGAAAACAGCCTCTTCGTCACGTGTCTTCCTCTCCTCGAGGGCGGCACCGCCCCTCTTCTCGTTTCTATTTGGAGTTTAAAATATCCTCAAATTATTACACCAAATTTTAATATATATACAATGCAAAACCTTTTCTCCTATAACCTAATTATACATTTTTATTATCCAAAATGTGAAACATTCTGTTTTTCCACCATTACAATTTGTTCAATACTACATATTATACAGTATACATTATACAAACACTCTGTTCAGTCCCAAAAAAAAAAATTATACATTCATACATATAACAAATGTTTACAAAGTTTCTTATTTCCCAATTACAAATCCGCTTCCAAAGACTGATTCTTTGATATGAAAATGGCATAAAGTATACAATACTATGTAAACATACTAATGTAACTATGTAAACTTGTGTAGTGCTAATAGAAAAAACACAAATTCTCTACAAGAAGCAATACTAAAACAAGAGAAGTGAAGCAAATGTCACCAATAATCTCTGCAGGAACATAATCCATTTCTAAAATGATGAAATCTATTCCTGTCTCTTACAATAAACTCTCTACCATAAACCTCAGAGATATGCTTTGTTACTGTATGACAATCTTGACATACCCTCAAGTTCTTCACTATCCTAATAGTTGTAGTTGGCTTACTCTTCATCATACCATATGCAATTGCAAGCTTCTCGCTATGCATATGAATCGCACTCTCTTTCTCTTCCTCGTCTACATCGAAGAACGCATCGCTTGTGTTTCCTTTATACCCTATCAATCTTATCTTCCTCAAAATCTCTTCCCATTTCCTTCTGATCTTACCCATTTCAGGATGCTTCTGATCATCATCTCCCATGCAGAACTTATTTATTTTCCCATCAATCTCTATTAAACTCCAACCTGGTGGTTTCTTAACAAGCTTCTCCTTCATCATGTCTCTCAAGCTCTCGATTTTCTCCCATTTTCCTGCAACAGCGTATATATTCGAGAGCAGAACATAGTAACCGCTATGTTCTGGTTTCACCTCTATCAACATGTTTCCCACTCTCTCTGCGACTTCCGTGTTCTTATAAATCTTACAAGCACCAAGCAATGCTCCCAATATCGGAGCATTTGGCTTCACCGGCATTTCAAGGATAAAGTTCTCAGCTTCGGATAATTTTCCAGTTCGGCCAAGCATGTCAACAATGCAACCATAATGCTCGAGTCTAGGCTCGATCCCGTAATCCCTTTTCATGTTCTCATAGAGTTCCAAACCTTTATCAACTAAACCACCGTGGCTGCAAGCCGAAAGAACCGCTGTGAATGTAACATCCCTTGGCATAAGCCCTAATCTAACCATTTGGTCGAAGTAATGAATCGCTTTGTGAGCATGTCCGTGGACCGCAAGACCTTTGATTATTGAAGTCCAGCTCAAGCTATCCTTCTCAGGCAATTCCTCAAATACACGAATCGCTTTCTTGATTTCACCACACCTCCAATACATATCCACAAGAGCTGTCCCAAGAATTACATTCACGGTCATGTTCTTCTTAACCACATACTCATGTGCTCTTTCTCCAAGCTCAAGCGCACCTAAATGAGCACAAGAAGAAATCACACTCACCATAACCGTCTCATTCGCAACAACACCTTCCCTTTTCATGAGGTAGAATAATTCAACAGCTTTCTCAAAACAATCGTTCTTCGCATACCCATTGATCATGATACTCCAAGTAAACAGATTTCTGTGAGGCATTTCATCGAACATCTCTCGTGCATCTTCAACCATCCCGCATTTGCAGTACCCAGCAACCATAGAAGTCCACGAAACCACATCTCGAAACCTCATTTGCCCAAAGATTCTACCAGCAGAAGCAATCAACCCACAATTAGCGTACATATGAACAAGCGAATTCTCTACATAAACATCATTCTGGAATCCGAATCTAACGATATGGGAATGAGTTTGTTCTCCAATCGTCACGCACTCCATCTCACCAGAGGCCTTAATCAGAAACGGAAACGTGATGTTATCTGGTCGAATTCGAGATTTCAACATCTGGATATAAAACCCAAAAGCTCTGCTTGGTTCTGCGTCAATGGAGAAGCCACGAATGAGTAGATTGAAGACGAAAAGATTAGGGCTTTGAATCTGAGAGAAGATTCCGTATGCGTATCCAAGGAAATTGGTGGATTTGTCGAAGCAGAGAGCGAGGAGACGACTGGCAACGAACACGTCGGAGATGAGATGGGTTCGTATGAGAAAGCCATGGATGATCTTGAGGTCGGAGAAGGAAGAGCAGGAATGGAGCAAGGTAAGCTTTGGATGTTTCAAACGAAGTGTGTTGAGCACAATGTTACTCATTCTCTGAACAAAACAAAGTAACCAAAAGTTTGTAACTTTATAAGCTCTTCAAAAGTTTGTAACTTTTTAAGTCTTAACATATAACCGTCGATTTTCTCTGTATTCAATGATCAGGTAAATGGTATTGACATAACTGGGGAACATTTGCTGTAGTTGCTCAGTGAATAATACAACTAGAGTTGCATGCGTAGCTAGCAATGTAGCATTTAACTTGCTAATACCGAGCTCTGCATTCATCTCAAGATTCCAGTCTTTACCGTTGCTTCATGACAAAATCCTTGCAGCCGCTTCTGATGCTACGTGTAGCCATTTCCCTGCCCATAAGAAAAACCATGTATGATCATCAAAGCAGCTATAGCTGTCTATTGGACAAATGTCCATAGGCTTAGCCCTGTCCGCATTTTATTTGGACGGATATGGTCTTAAAATTTTAAGCCCACATCAAAACTGTCCAAATAGGCCAAGACCATATTTGTCCGCGACCAAATGGGTTTGGACAACTTGGTCAGCGGACGGCCATGGTCTCCACCGAAACAATAATCACATTATTAAATATTTATTATGTAGCATAAGTAATGAACCATTTATCTTTTATGTTTTTACTTAAACTATTTGCGATACATATAATATTTATACTAGAAAATTAATATATAAAATTCACGTTCCTTTGATTGTTTTACGTAGTTGGCCTCTTGTATGTTTATATGACCTTTTGCTTTTTCGTATTT